AGTTTCAATCATTTATTTGTTCTTCTAGTGTAGGGTTTCTCGGGGCTGTCTGTGTTCTGGGGTGGCTGATTCTCCACTGCCCGGGGCTGTCCTGTGAGCTGTAGAGGGCTTTACCACAGTCTTGTCTCCATGCCAGAAGCACCCTCTGCCTGGGTTGTTATGATCCAAAACATCTCCAGACACTGCCAGATTTCCGCTGGGGGACAAAATGGTTCTTCCACTCTCGTATCCCTCCCCACTGAGACTTGTCACCATGTGCAGCATGGAAAAGTGGATGGAATGTCCGTGCTGGGAAAGAGAAGTTTGTTCCCACATTCTGGGCTCGTCTTCTGGTTTTCCAGCCAGAAACACTCACACTTTACATATTTTACAGTCTATATGTATGTTCTTGAAGTCACATGAGGCTCTGCCTGTACAGGAAAGAGGAAAGGGCAAAGAATGACTGTCCTGGGTCACTTCCACCCCAACCCAGTCTGTCACTGTGGCATAGGACTGTTAAGAGGTATGATCAGCCCACAGACATGACCTCCAGGGGCTCTGATTATTGGGGGGACCTATTCTCTCTTCCAACTGCCATTTCCCTGTCTTAAGACATTGTCTTCCAGGGCTGGAGAGATGGCTGAGAGGTTAAGAGCACTGGCTGCTCTTCCAGAGGTCCTGAGTTCAATTTCCAGCAGCCACATGGTGTCTCACAACCATCTATAATGAGATCTGGTGCCCTATTCTGAATACCCTATAATGAATGAAAAAGACATTGTCTTCCTTCGCTGGAGCCCAGTGCAGCTGCTTAGCTAGTCTCCTGCCTGGGCTCTAGTTTTCTCTCTTCTGACAGAAGCAGTCTCTATGCTGGACCCCTCCCCCTCCCATGCCAACTCCTGCTGCTCTGGTGAGGTTCTTCAGTGACCTCAGTGTGGTGGGCCCCTCAGCCTGCCTCCAGGGTTGTGCCATCTTGCGGTCATCTGGATCAGTGCCAGCCTGCAGAGATGCACCAGGCTACCCACCTGCTCTGTAGGCAAGCTGCTCCCTGCCTGCTATTCCCTTCCCCGCTTCATCATCCTCCAGTACTCTCTCTCTAACGGCGTTTCTCAGCCTTCCTAATGCTGTGACCCTTTAATACAGTCCCTCATGTTGTGGTGACTTTGTTGCTACTTTTATAGCTGTTATTTTGCTACTGTTATGAATCGTAATGAAAATATCTAGATATTATATGTCTGATATGTATGGATATTTGATATGGAACCCCAAAGGGCTCAAGACTCACAGGTTGAGGAACATAGCTCTACAACATTCAGATGAAGTGGCCCTTCCCAGGGCAGGCACATTCTCAAGTCCCTGGTGTACACAGGGCACTTTCTGCCTAGGGTACCTTCTGTCTCAGCCACAGATAACATTTCATCTGTCACACAGCCACCTCTGACTAAGCTCTCTCATCGCTTTAGGGCAGAGTCTCTAGGACACAGAAACTACCCCTTATGAGTTCTGTATTCTTAGCCTCCCACACCTCATTGCTTTTCAGAAAGGATTTATTTAGCTGTGTATGTTATGTGTAAGAGTGTTTCACCCTGAATGCATGTGTGCCTGGCTCCCACAGAGGCCAGAAAGGAGCCTCAGATCCCCTAGAACTGGAGTTACAGGCAGCTGTGGGCCACTGCGAGGGTGCTGGGAACCGAATCCTGGTCCTCTGCCAGAGCAGCCAATGCTCTTAACCACTGAGCCACCTTCCTAGCCCTGATGGTACTCAGTCTTGCTTTGGCTGTGGAAAGTCCCATTCTTGTGAGTCCTCTATAGGCTCTCAGCACTCTGCCACGCCTCTTCCGGAGACGGGTACTTCCTGCTTCTCCTACCACCCCTCACCCACCCTCCCTTTGACCACTACAGGTACCTGCCCTCCATCCCTTCCTCCTTCCTCCCCTCCTTCCTTCTATCAGATGTTCACAGGGTCCTTCCGGATGCCAGGCATGCCTCGGAGGGCTATTAATGATAAGGAGGCATTCCTCTGTGTTCACAACATAGAGTAGCGTCTTAGAAGTTTCCCAGGCTTTCTGAAGGCTAATAGGAACCTTAAAATGTGATGATAGAACTTGGGATAGGTTGGGGGGGGGGGTGAGGCATTCCACCTGTCTCCACCCTACACACAAAACAAGGAACATTCCATCCCTTAAAAACAGCCAGTGAGCCTCACCATACTCCCATGAGTACCCGTGCCCTCAGTCTGGGGTGGCCATCAAGCATCACCCTTTGAGTGGGACCTGGGTTTCTCCACAAACAGTCTCATCTGAACTACATGTGCCTTGGGTAAGACAGATCTGACAAGGGGTAGCAAACTTTCAGATGCTTGCTGGTGTCCCCTGCATCTTTTTGAAGAGGGGGCAGCCCTCAGTTGTGTCCTCAGCTCCTCCCTGTTTTATGCCTTAGATCAAAAGATGCCGCCCAGGTCCCTCAAAGCTCTCTGCTTTAGAAACAAGCTTCAGCTGTCCATTTAGAATGATCGTGGCTCCTGAGGGTCAAGCTCCACTCATGCAGCCTTCCAAAGCGGGTGAGGGAGGTATTTCTCTGGAGGGACCTGCCTTGAGCAGCAGTTGAGAAACCAGGATTTAGGGTGACTGAGTTAGAAAGGGTTCAGAAAAAGAGGAATCTGCCAGGTTAGGGAGAGGGGTGGTGACTAAGAAGAAAACTTCACAGCCTGGCCACAGACACCCAGAACCCCGGTGGACGTGCTATTGTTCAAGAGGGGTGCTTTTAGGATAGCAAGCAGTAAGGACAGGGATCTCATTCAAGAGGAAATGGCCAGGAACTAGAGAAGAAACACAGTGCCGGGAATTCCCAGTGAAAGCCTCTGCTCACGCACGCGGTTTCCATCCCTGACTTCCTTGCTCATGCCCTCTTCCCCTGGTTCTCTGTAGATGGAAGCCGAACTGGAGCGGTTCCACAAGCAGAACACACAACTGGAGCTGAACATCACGGAGCTGTTGCAGAAACTGAGAGCCACGGATCAGGAGATGCGCAAAGAGCAGCAGAAGGTGTGAGGATTTCGGCGTCTGGCAGTGGACCCGGGATCTGGCGCCTGCCTGCCTGCAGCGGGCAGCTGGCTCCCAGAGACAGCCAGCCACCGCTAAGAAACGCTTCTCATCTTAACTCGTGCTCTTGCCCAAGGCCTGTCTGGTTCCAGGCCCGCACAAATTTACGTATCCAAATTCATCTAGGACTATAAACAGCTTGGGAGTATAGATAAGAGCAGTAGCAGTGGTACTCAACCTGTAGGTTGCGACACACTTGGCCCTTCTCACAGGAGTCACATATCAGATAGCCTACATCTCAGATATTTGCACTACAATTCATGACAGTAGCAAAGTCACAGTTACAAAGTGGCAACGAAAATAATTTTATGATTGGGGGTCACCACGACATGAGGAACCGTGTTAAAGTGTCTCGGCATGAGGGAGGCTGAGAAACGCTGTTTTATAGGACACCCTTAGCCTTGGGTTTGTTTGACCTGAGAAAGAACATGATTTAAAAGTCATTTGTCCTTAATGAAGTGATTAAATGCTCTGAGCACCCCCAAACTGCTGGTGTTAGGAAAACCTTAGAGACCATCCATTCCAGTCTGCCCATGTGCAGAGGTCAGAGGAGGAAGTCAGGCACCCAGCTCTGTCACTCTCCACTGCATCTCCTTGAGACAGAGTCGTTTGTCGTTTTCTTCAGGTACACTAGCTGACCAGGGACATTAGCAACCCGCCTGTCTCTACTTCCCAGTGCTGGGGTTTTAGGCCCTTGGGATGCTGGGATCCGAAGCCCAGTTCTCATGCCGGCATAGCAAGCGCTCTTAACCACTGAGCCATCTTTCCAGTCCCTTTGTGTCTCCAGATAGTATCTCACTCTGTAACCCAGGCTGGCCTAAAACTGATGGGATAGCCCAAGCTTACCTGGGAACTCTTAATTCTGTGATTACAGGTGCCTGCTACACATCTGGCCCATTCCATTCTTTTTATCTTGTAAATAAGCACAGTAAGTAAGGGTCAAGAAATGAGGAGAAGAAAAAAACCAAAATAAAACCTTCCCCCAGTAGTTAGAGCTAGTTCTCAATTCAGAGCCAGCCTGGGAAAGCCTGGTCCTCTGGCCCCAGGCTAAGATGCACTTGTGTACTCTGCCTTCAGGCCACCTGAAACATTTTCCAAATCGGACTGAGCTTCTCCACCCTCCTTAGTAAACATTGGCTGTGCATACTGGCAAAGCTTCAGAGCTACACATTGGGAGAGGGCCGGGCTCTGCTCTTGGAAAGCCAAAAGGGCTGATAAGTGATTAGTAGCTTGTGCATAAAAAAAAAAATAGAGAGACAGAAAATTGTGTACAGAGAAATTGTATATACCTGTGTATATGTGTGACATATTTGTAAAGTGGATAAAGGGCTATGGGAGTGGAGAGAAAGGAGACTCCCCCTTGGGTAAGGGTGGGGGGAGGTGGCTGTCAAGGAAAGCCTGGCTGGGGACGGGAGAGCTAGTCCAGTGTACAGCAACCTGACCATCCAGGGAACAAGTGCTGGGTGAGGTCCTAAGGGGCACGGGGCAGCCCTGGGTCAGGATCTGTGGGAGAGAATGATACATCTTTCTTGGCTCTAAAAGTGTGGCCACATGAGTTTCCTTCCATCTTATGAGCCTGAAACCATTAAAGGAATGTGGAGCAATAGGAACGCCATGTGCGTGTGGTCTCAAGCCCTGTCTTCTTGGCAGCTGCTCAGGCAGGGTATCCAGCCCAGGCAGGTGCGCAGGAGTTTCAGAACTGCTGCCCTTGGGTGACTGCCCATCTGGCATTCTGCGCCCAGGATGGTCCCCAACAGTCAGGTGTCAATCCCAGACAAGGATGCTCTGGTCCCTTTCTGTGTCATTAGCCTCTTCCTGAAGCCCCTGCTCCATCCACATAGGGTGGGCCCTGCAGTCCCAGGAGTAAATGTCTGATTCCAGGAGAGGGACCTGGAAGCGCTGGTCCGACGGTTCAAGACAGACCTTCACAACTGCGTGGCATACATCCAGGAGCCCCGGCTGCTGAAGGAGAAGATCCGTGGTCTCTTTGAGAAGTACGTGCAGCGGGCAGACATGGTGAGCTCTGAGCGCCCTGCCCGTCCCCACCCACACTGCCCTGCACTGTACTTCACATCTCCCTTCCCCCCCCCACACACACACACCCTTTGCTGAGTCTCCCCAATCCACCAGGTGGAAATTGCAGGGTTGAACTCAGACTTGCAACAAGAGTATGCCCGCCAGCGGGAACACCTAGAGAGGAACCTTGCCACCCTCAAGAAAAAAGTGATCAAGGAGGGCGAACTGCATCGCAACGACTACGTCCGCATCATGCAGGTAATGGACATGTACATTTCTCCGCTGCCTGAGACCACCCATCACCCAGGCTCCCCAGACATCCAGGGATCCACAGCTTTTTTTATGGCTCCTCTTCTCTGACTTCTCAGAGCTCATCCTGGCTGCCATTATGGCCTAGGGCCCACCAAGGAGCCCATCCAGGCATCGCCATGCCCTCTAATGGCCAGCCCTATTGCTTTCTCCCTGTTCCACTGGCCATCCTATCCTATTCCTACCAAGCTTCTTTCTCTCTTCTCAGTTACCGATGGTACGGCCAGGTCACAGCTCTCCCGACTCCCTCCTCCTGACTCCTTCACCCCCTTCTCTCTTGTAGCTCCTGGTTCGCCTGACTTTGCTGCTTTTTATTTATTCTGTTCTTCCCACCTCCTGGGATGTATCTGGCCAGTCTCCATCTGCCTCTTCTCCCTTTCTGGTGCCTCAGGTCTTACCCTTATCTCTTGGTCCAGATTGAACCACACCCACAGATTTGGCAATGATCATATTCAATGAGCTCCTACACCCAACTCCCAGGATCCTTCAGCAGGCAACTCAGGGAGCCTAACCCCATTCCTGTCCCCACCCAAGCGCTCTGTCGGGACTGCCCATCAAGATGCCTCTGCCAGATCTCTGTTTGGGTGTCAGTATCATCTGAGGCAATTGATATGAATTTATATCAAAAGAGAACATCGGAATCACATAGGGCACATACTTTTCTGGTTACATTTCTTTAGTGTCCTGATCGAAACTCTGGAATGGGAACAGGGTGCAGTTTGGAATGAAACCAGATACCTGGTTGGAAAGTTACACACAGCAATTCAGGCCAAACCGAGGCACAGCTGGTCTCTTGCCATTTTAAAACCAGCTCCTCTTCCCACTACCCTTTCAAACCATTTCTATTCTGAACCATGAAAGTTCCCAGAGACACAGAAAGAGGAGTGGATGTGATTGGCAGCCCCTTGGTACCAGCAACCACACACAGCCTTGCTAAAGGCCTGGAGTACCCAGGCTTTGAGCACAGGAAGCTAGGCAGTGAGACCAGGGAGACAGTATTTGCCACCTGGTGGCATAGCCGAGCCCTGCCACCACCACACCACCCTGAGGTCCTCCAGGGGCTGGCCCCTCTCTCCACACTTAGCAGAAGCCCAAAGCAACAAGTCAGCCCCAGGGAGGAAGGGGGAACGGCAAGCTTGCAGTATGCACACATTCCTTCATGAGGCTGCTAGGGCAGATTCCATGTTTCTTCCCCACCCCCATGCCCTAGAGAGTACTGGACCCTGGACCAGGGTAGGAGTGGGCAGCAGAAGAGACTCAATCAATGCTCCTGTGAGGTGGGTCCCTGGAAGTCTTCCATCTTAAACAGCATTGAAACCTGTGTGGTAACTCACACCTTTAATCCCAGCATTCCAGAGGCAGAGGCAGGTAGATCTATGGAGCTAGTTCTAGGGTAACCAGGGATACATAGGGAAATTCTGTCAGAGGATGGGGAGGGTTGAGGAGAGGAAACCTGTGTGCTGTGACCTCTGTAGATCTAAAGAAAAGACTCCGACCACATCAGGGGACAAGAAGGAGGCCTGGAGGTGGGGCTCTGGGTCCCACCAACACCACCACATGCACACACAGAAACTTCTTGCTGATTTTATTGGGGCTCTGGGTAAGACTTGACTTGCAAAAGTTAGGAAGGTCTCCTTTCCCCCCAAAGGCTAGGGATCAAATCTAGGTCTTTGCGCTTACCAAGTAGCTGGAGCTACACGTCCAGTCCAGAAGACATTTTTTTTAAAAGATTTATTTATTCATTATGTATACAGTTTTCTGCCTGCAATGTACAACTGCAGGCCAGAAGAGGGCATCAGATCTCATTGCGGATGGTTGTGAGCCACCATGTGATTGCTGGGAATTGAACTCAGGACCTCTGGGAGAACAGCTAGTGTTCTTAATCACTGAGCCCTCTCTCTGCCGCACCCCCCCCCCCAAGGACATTTTTAAAAAGACTGTTCTTTTTAAAGAACTACTGTCCTGGGTGCTAAAAGCTGTTTTCTTCTTTGATCTTGAGATTGAAGGAGACAGCTAGGCCAAAGTCACAGGGAGTTGCAGAGCCTATGCAGGCAAAGCCTAGCTAGGAACTCTATTCTCACGCAGGGTGTGGGAGGTGAGTGGACACAGCATCTGAGTAGACAGACCAAGACAACAGTACTTCGTTGCTGTTTGGCTGCGAGACTGCGGGGCTCCAGAGACCACTCTGCTTACCTGTAACCTGGGGCAAAAGATACCAGCCTCCTGCCTGATACAGAATTAGGGCTCAAAATTGCCATTTATTTTTAAAATTGTTTTATTAGATTTTTTTTATTTGTTTTACACACCCACCACAGTTTCTCCTCCTGTTGTCTCCCTCTTCCTCCCTTCTACATCCTTCCAATCCACTCCTCCATCTCCATTCAGAAAGGGCCAGCATGCATACATGTTCATGTGGGTACAGATATGTGGGTATAAATATTTGTGGAAGCCAGGGGAAAAAAAATGCCATTTCTTTTCCTTTATACCAGCAAAGAAATAATTCAAGAGCTACAGTGAAAATAAGCAAATGAGTCTAAAAGTCCATCTTACATGGCCTGGGGGTGGGGGAGGAGAGCACAACTGATTCCAGAAACACACACACACATACACGCACGCACACACACACACACACACACACACACACACACACACACACCTAGGTGGTGGCTAGGAGCCCTGAATGCCTTAGTACATGGTGGTTTGGAACTGCTGGAGTTCCTCTGTGGCTACCAGGGCCCCAGTATCTTCTTCCAAAAAGGGCAGGCACAGTGACTGAGCAACTCATTGGAAAACAACTTGGGGGGGGGGGAATGGGGCCACCATCTCATTTGTATATCCAGATAGGAGCCCAGGGCCTCCCTACACTGTTCCCTGGCATGCTCATGCAAATATGGAAATGGGAGTTGCTACGCAATACAAACACCTCGAACACACATTTTATTCATCCCCTTCACATTTTTCAAGGTCTTCTTACACAACAAATGGTGTGTTAGCCATGGAGGATTCCAAGATAGATTTAAAGCATTCCCACCCTCAGAGAGTGTGGGGAGCATTTGTCCGGTGGTGTGGGCCCACGGAGGAAACATGCTCCTCGAAGACCCAAAGGAGGGAGAACCCTTGGAGTTTGGTCTCAGGGTGGGTGATTGAGGAGCAGCTGGGGGAAGGGCCCTCCTTCCAGGCAGAGAGACAGCAGAGGCAGGGGTGGGGTTGAAGGTGGGGACTGGGGATCCACAGACCTCACTTCAGCAGAGCATCCAAAGCAGCAAGAGTCCACCTGAAAGCCACTTAGCCCTGGGTCATGCTGGAAAGGGCCCTCTGCTCCTTGCCAAGAACTGCGAGGTTCATCCTCAACACAGGTCAGAGTCCTTCTCAGACACAGTTGCCTTTGTCTCACACAGGTGGACTCGTTTGGCAGCGTATTCAGTCAAGTGAGGAAACCTGTTAGACAGATGTCGGTTAGGGATAAAAATGAGAAGCTTGGAGAGGGGGATGTGGTGATATGAAAGGCATTTCAGAGTAGAAATGAGGAATTGAAATGCTAGGTCAGACCCGGGGAGGAAGGTGGAACGGGCAGGGAGATAACAGCCTGGCTTATGTGTGCAGTTAGATGATCCTACTAACTGATGTGACACTTCCATGATCACAGCCCTCATCAGTGCCCAGATTCCCCCCACACTGAGGCAACAGCCAGCCCTTAAAGGCATTGATTCCAAGCAGCCAGTAGGGGGAGCTATGGTCATTCCCGTCCCTTCTCTGCTTGCCATCAATATCAGAAAGTTCAGCCAGGGCATCGTCATTCTGTTCCAAGGGCCTAAGGCAGCCCTTGTTACCTTGTTTTGGTCTCTACACAAAGACCTGAGTGTCTTCAGACTGCTCCGGGAGTCTCCAGACTTGGAACTGTTCAGATCTTTTATGTAGCCCAGTAGCTGGCTGGGGGTGGGGGGGGGTCTGGAAGACTGGAAGGTTTGTAGACCATCTTAGCCAGGACGCCAGGAGGAAGAGGCTTAGCAAGCTTGTTGATTTCACTTTTCCTTATTATTATTATTTTTCATTTGCAGAGACACACACAGTTGACCTCACTATGATCTTTGAGTTTCTCAGAACATAGGGCGTCTTAGAAAACAATATTTAAAGACCTTAGCTTGTCTTTGGCAATCATTCTATCTGAGCTACTGGAACAAGAGTGGCATAAGGAGGATGTGAGAGGGTTAATGTGGATGGAAGTAGACATGTGGGAACAGGGCACGGTGGAGGTGGACGCAGCAACACTCAAAGTTATCACTGTCTTCATACCCCGATGAATCCGAGAATACATTCCCCTTGGGGCTCCTGAAGGGTGAGATGAGGCGAGGCATGCAGACTGCAGGGATGCAGCCAAGGTGAGGCATGCAGGCCGTGCAGGGATGCAGCCAAGGTGATTAATGTAGACTGCAGGGATGCAGCCAAGGCGAGGCAGGCAGACTACACAGGGAGTTTTACAGTCTTTCATTCTGCTTGCTGCCTCCAGGCTCCTGACTAAGAAGAGTGTTTACCCTCTCTCCTCTCACAGGCTTAAGCTCATGCTTCTGACTCTCATGACAGCTCTGAATATTACACCAAGAGGGACTTCCATGTTTAACACAATAACCAGTTCATACACCAGTTAGTTCGTTCATGGCTATCAGGAACTGTGGCACCAGGGAGGAGGTAAGGGGTGAATGAGGATTGAAGAAGCAGATGCAGAGTGCTGGGAGACAGTTTTTAAATTGAAATAACTGGTTTTTTTTTTCCATTTATTTTACATACCAACCAGTTTCCCCTCCCTCCCTTCCCCCATCTACCCACCTCCCCATCCACTCCTTCTTCATCTCTGTCCATAAAGTTACCTGGGCCACATTTGATTTCTGGCCTCAGTCACACTCCAGTAAAGATGGTATTGTGCAGGGCTGCAGAGATGGCTCAGTGGTTAAAAGCATTTGCTGCTCTTCCAAAGGACCTGGGTTTGATTCCCAGCACCCACATGGCAGCTCACAGCTCTCTGTAACTCCAGTTCCAGGGGATCCAGTTCTAGAGAATCCAGTGCCCTCTTTTGGCTTCCTCAGGCACCAAGCATGCACGTGGTACACAGATATATATAGGCAAAAGACCCATACATGTAAAATTTAAATGAATGGGGGAAAGAGGGAATCATACTCTGGGGGGCCCATCATGGTGGTGTCAAAAACTGGCATTGGGGTCAAAGACAGACACTCAAGTAGCCCCATCATGGATGGCGGCTGGGGGTGGGGAGAATGTAGGGCTCTGCCTGGAGTCATTCTATTAGTAGAACAAGTT